GCTTGGAGCAACCTGCTCGAGTGGAAGGTGTCCCTGCCCGGGGCAGGGGTTGGAGCTGGAGGAGCTTTAAGGTCCCTTCCAACACAAACTATCCCATGATTTTATGATTCTGTGGTTTCATAGCTCAGCAATGGGGCTGAGGGACTCCCATGCTGAACCCCTCAGCCAGCACCTCACCCCTTCATTATCTTCCTGCTTCATTAGTAAAGCCGGACCCCCCTGAGGACCTGCGGGTCTCACCCCTCCCTGGGGAGACCCAAGAAGCTGCTGCTGGAGTGGAGCCCACCAGGGTCCTGGCCCTTCCCGGAGTACTTCCCACTCAAGTATCACATCCGCTATGCGCAGGAGGACGGCTCTGTCCCCAGCACGGTACTGCCCATCCCAGCGCTTCCAGACGGGGAAACTGAGGCACCGCTGAGGGCTGCCCCCCTGAGCAAGGCTGTGCCCTGGTCCCGGGGTGCCCCTCACCCCGCTCTACCCCCAGGTCGGTCCGTATGAGCAGACATCCCACACACTGTCAGGCCTGTGCCCCGGCACCATGCTCCGTGTCCAAGTGGCTGGCAAGGGCTTCACCGACTCCGGGGAGCTCAGTGACTGGAGCCCACCCGCCTCGGGGATGCCCTGGATGGAACCGTGACAGGCAGGACAGGGCCAGCGTTCCCCTCCCCATCCCATGTCCCGGCAGGGACCCCACACTGTGCTCTGTCCCCATGTCCCCAGCAGTGTGGAGCCACAGGTGTGGGGGTTCCTGCTTTATTTGATGTTTCATTTCTCTCTTTGATCTTCTCAGTTTCCCTCAGGTCCAAAGGAAGCACAAAGTGTGGTTGTTGCTAACAGCGTCTCAGCCCTGGCCTGCAAGTACCACGAACTGAACAATAACATCTGTAAAACTGAAGGGATGTGCCAGAACCAGGCAATAAACAGACCTGAAGCTCTGATCCCTGCCTACTTTTGTGATGTTCTCTATGGAGTGGCTGAGCCACCCCTGGGGATGGTCCCTCTGCTGCTGAGAGGCTGGAGGGAC